AAATCATTTCCATCTTTAAGAACACTGAAGGCAGCTTTTTTATTGAACTTCAAGATAAGCACTTTGCGCAAACTGGTGCTGAAATGCCCCATGGTCTGTGAAGTTGACTTGACTATTGACACTACTCCAATTATATCATCACAAGTGTCTGTTGTATCCTCAAGTCCAGATATAACACCGCAAATATCAAATTTGCCCTTAAATTGTCGGGATATGACTTCTTTTTACTCTGGACCATCTCTTGCAAAACTCACGTTGGAGGGCCGAAGCGATCTCTATGGTGAGATATTTTTCAATAGTTCCAGATTTTCTGTGGATAAAGTCGTTAATGTTTCGTACCTCCAAAAGATAGTTTGGCATACTGATATCATTGACAGTTGTCTTTGTTAGACTTGTGGACAAAGTTAGTGGAAAAATGCGTACCATTCTATTGCATATAAGGCATGATATCATCGTAAAGTCCATAAAGTGGAAATTTGGGCCTATCTGTAGCATGCTATTGATGAAAGCATATGATACACATTTATTAATAATGTTGGGCCAGGGATTTTGAAATGTTCAACTCTGACATTTGAATGCTGCAATGGTGGAAATATTGGATTTCTTTTTTGAAGTATGTTTCCTTGTAATTTAATTAGCCCTGGAAAGGTTCAATATTGTGAATGCGCAGTTGCACACACATGAAGCCCATAATGCACTATACTTGTTTTTCCTTTTTATTGGTGGCGCCTGATTTTGCATCATTGTTCACCCCACTAACATTTCCTTTCAACATTTATGCCAGATTCAGATCTTCAGTACATCTCCAGATTCTGTGTCTGCTTGCAATACCTAAACCTCAAAGGGTGTATTTCATTAACTGATGTTGGCATAGCAAGTGTTCTACACAGATGTATTAAGCTGCACTCCGTTTTAGTGTGTGACACCTCTTTCGGGATTAATTCAGTTTTAGCTCTTTGTTCTAGCTCTTCCAATCATATTGCTGTCCAACAAATTGAAAACGAGCAATTGGATTCCCTGGCACATAATCTTCAAACACTTCACATGGGAAGCTGCAAGTGTGAGTGTCAATTCCCTTGTTACTTTTGCTTTGGGAGTTTATGACTTGAACTTTGAAGACTTATGTCCATCACCATCCTCATTCTCTACAGGCAGAAACTCTAGGATTTCATTTTTATTTTTTATTATTTTCGTTTTTGAGAATTGAGATACTTGGTATAATGGCACCATTTGTCCATATAGTTCACAGAAAGTGTAGTGTATAGCTTCTCTGTCTTTGACCAGTGCTTCCATATACAAAAAATAAAAATATAAAACCCGAGAGAAGTAACAATTTCTAACTGAGAAGTCTTTGAGAATTTGCTTGACTAAGATTTAGCTTAACTGTACTTGCTATTGGGTACTTGAGGTTAGTAGTAAGGCCTTTCTTTGTCTTTCTGATATATGTTGGTCCTATAATCTTCTATTATATGAAATTCTTTCTCATCATTGACCGTTAACACAATTTCTGTCATTTTCTTGTATTTACTGATGATTTGAGATGATCTAGGAGACTAGGACCTAAAAAGTTTTGAAATGGTGGCTGTAACAAATCCAACCAGTTCAGATAAGCTGCGTTAATTTCATTTCCGGGTCTAGATTACGTAAAAATGGACCAAGGAAATGCCTAAAGTTCACTGGATGACATGTATGCTGTATGGTCAATCGTTTTTGTTTCTCAGGTGTTGATGAAGCATCTCTTGTAAAGCTTATGTCTCAAATGCAAAAGCTGAAGACTCTTTGCTTAAGTGATACTTACCTTTCTGATGGTGCTCTATATAGTTTCAGAAGTTCTTCCTTGGAGATGCTTGATGTTTCTAATACTGGGGTGAGTCATCAAATTTAGTGATTATACACACATATGCATGTGATTGTGAGAAATAAGTTAGTTACATGGCTATACTCCCTTAGCGGGTAAGTTAATCCTGCAACTACATCCTAGTATGCTCCTAAGGTTCCTATGCATCTATGAAGTCAATTGGCCTTGCACATAAACCCTTGTGAGTATTAACATAGACAACACACTGTTTCTTGCATAAATCTGGTTTATATAATTGGGGAATCAACAGAAGGAAGCTGATGTAAAACTCTTCGAAAAGTTCAATTTGGTAATGGATATAAGACATCCTGTAAAACCCATCCGTGTTCCTATTATCATGTAACCATGGTAATTATGTGCTTGTAAATTTCAGGTTTCAAAAGCTGCTTTAGCTCATCTCATCAGTGGAAATCCAGGTTTAAAGTGTTTGAAGGCGAGAGGATGCAGGAATTTGTCTCAACAGGAAAGTGAGGCTCAGAAGCGAGCATTTGCTTCCTCCTACTCTTGCAGAGAACTGCATAATGAAATAGGAAGAACTTGCGTACTGGAAGAAATTGCACTTGGATGGGGATTTTCTTACTCCTCTTTGGAAGCTCTGAAACCCGCAGTCACATCACTGAGGAAAATAACTGTGGGCTTAGGTGGATCATTAGGTGAAGATGGACTGAGAATACTACCAACTATTTCTCCTATGCTGGAGTCAATTATTCTTTATTTTCAGGTAACTTGTTTGTGGATTTTGAGACAATTGTAGGCAATACCTGAAACATCCCTTGTGGCTTATGCTGTTATACATGCATTAGCTGTAACATCATCACTACTAAAAGTACTCGGGGACAACTAGTTTTAAATATTGAATTTTGTGAGAGAGACACTTCCCCTATTTGCTGGTTTAGTTCACCTATCAGATAAATTCTTATTGATCAGATCAGCATGAGTTAACCGATGTCTCCTTAGGTATATTCATGCAGTTTTGGTGATATTAGTTTTGGCGAAAGACACACTTTTTTTTCTTCTTCTTTCGATTTCAAAATATATGTTTCTCTTGCATCAAAACCTACATTTGAATATGAAATATACAGTTATTGTTTGTTTGTACAATGATTTTGATACTTTTACAGGTAATATCTGATGGTACCATTATGAGCATCATGGAAAATCTGAAGAACTTGGTAGTTTTTGCTTTGTATCACTGTCTTGGTGATGTATCTATTTTAAGCTTTAAGTTTTCCATGCCAAACCTGAGGACTTTGAAACTTGAGCGGGTGACCCCTTGGATGACCAACAATGATTTGGTTATTCTTACTCAAAGCTGTACAAATCTGGTTGAGCTTTCGCTGCTAGGGTGTACGCTTCTGAATTCAGGTTAGGAGCTATTTGTTTCAAAGGGTATCATTTGAGCTTGCCTTCAATTGACACAGCATGTAGACATTTCCTTAGTCATATCTAATTCATGATTCTATTTCCCAATAACAAGTGCTTCAGTGGGTAACCTGTTCTTGGTTTCTTTCTATTCCATTACAGGAATATCCTTTGTTGTGTTATCTGTGTGCGAGTGTACCTCTAAAGCAAATTGAAAATAGTAGCTACTCCTTTTGAGGTAATTGATATGCCACTTTAACTTGCCGTTCTTTCTTGTTTGCAGAGTCTCAACGGATAATTTCGCATGGATGGCCAGGCTTGGTTTCAGTCCATCTTGAGGTTTGCCGTTTTCAAGTGCTGCTTGTTTTCTAGCCATGATACTTATATGTGTCAATGACTGGTTCACTTGACACATAATTATCAGTTCGACGTGTGATTTTAAAATTCTGTTCTTCTTGTGTTTTTGGAGGTCCCCTGCACTACTTTAACCATATTTGTCAGTGTGCCATGTATGACAAATGTGATTGATTTTGATGTTTAGGAGTGTGGACAAGTGACAGCGAAGGGGGTTTCTTCTCTTTTTAGATGTAAAGCTCTTGAAGATCTCCTGCTGCGTCATAATGTGAGATTTGAGTGACTGTTTCTTTTCATCTTGCATTCACATCTGATAAATATTGTTGTGCTGCTACTACATATATTGCAATTGGAACATCGTATACCTTCCGATAATACTAAAACTCTCTTTATACAGGGCCCTGGGATACAGAGAAGCTTTATTTTCGACGCCGCTTCAAAGGTAATACCTCAGTTCTTGTATTCAATTAGAGGTATCAAGTTTAACGGTTAATAAGTTAATACAATCGCGTGTCTTTTGTGTTGAGTTCAGATTCCAATGCTTAGGAAAGTATCGTTAGACTTGTGTGATGCCAGTGAAGGTGATTTTGACATTCCGAGTGTAAGTTAATCTCTCTCTCTCACGCGCACAAGCGCATGACCTTTTTCACTCAAGCGTTAAGTGTTTCCTTCAAAACAACCTAAAGGGATCTACGTTGTTTGCTGTAGTATGCAGATAGGTATTTCTTAAGTACTGTCAAGATTGCAAGATGCAAGACCGAGAAGTGTGGCCGGAACGTTGTGTTTCTCGAGGCTCGTAGGAGGCGGGTGCACAAAGAAACCCTTGTACTGGTATGGAACAGCAGCACCGTCGCCAGGACAGTGGTGAAAGAAAGGCTCTAATTAACAACAGTGGCGAACAATCTCACGCTCTCTTTTTTTTCTTTCTTTTCTTCTTTACACTTACTGGAGATATTGAAGCCAGAATGGAGTAATTTTGGGGTTAAGATATAATTTGACCCAAATAGTGAGTAGTTTTTTAAATGAAGAAAGAAGGTGTTCGATGAAATGCCTCAGTAGAGTTCTCTCCCATTACAACAAATTTTTAGCTCCACCGCTCTACGGGAACGTTTGAAACTCTAACCTCTTATAAGCGTTACATAAATTGGATTTTATCTTTTTTTGAACAACCGATATTATTTACACTAAAAGGAGAAGAGGCAGGCGTAGCTTCACAATGAGCTAGTAATAATGTGATTCAAATTTGTCTTTAACGATAAATCGAACTGATAACCTTACCAATAGACCGTAATACGAAATGACCGTAATACGAAATGACTTATTCAAATTGGATTTGAACTTTTAAAACCGAACGACTATTTAAAAAAGAAAAAAGAAAAAGTAAAAGTAAAATGAAAAGTAAACTGAAAACGAACGGTTCGCAAACGGTCGTTGTGGAATAAGGTTTAAAATTGGTAGTACGAAAACAATCGCCGGCGCCTGGCAGAAGAGTCGGATTAGTATTCAACACCAAACTCTTTTGAACACTGGGAAACTGGGATACTGGGTTTTTCTCTCTGCCGCCGCCACGAGCACAGGTTGTCGCTGCCATTACCTACCTCCACTCCGAGCTCTCACCCTCCGTCGCCGCCATCAATTCGTAGAGGTTGATGGGTGTCATTGATATATACAACGTTTCCTCGCTCCGATTAACCACCACCCGCAGGCCCAGCTGTGGAATCGAAGGGAGCAGAAGGAGGAGGGTGGTGGCTATGGCGTCCACAATCCCTGTGCAGCAGAAAGAAGTCAACGACGGTCAACAGCGTTTGACTGGCGACTCATTCATTCGACCCCATTTGAGGAACTTGTCTCCTTATCAGCCCATTTTACCATTCGAGGTAATTTCAAATCCAAAAGATTTTGATTTTTCTTCCTCTGGTTGGTATGAAGTTACTTAGGTTATCACTATTTTTCCAAGTTTCTTTTTGTTTATGTGGATTTAGTCAGCTGTATAATGCATTTCAATGAGCAGGTTGAGAATTTTTTATCTTGGAACTGATATTTTCGTACTATTATCGCGAATGTATGATGATATGGTTCTAGTGTTGACAAAATCGAGCTGGAGCAGCATGCTTTTAATGAACCCTTGAGTTTATCCCATCTTGATTCATCTTAATTGTTATTTGAACTTGTAAAGATTAGGTCTTTGCCTGGGATGAGATTGTCCAGGGGAGGATGATGAGGTCTTTCCCAGGGATGAGATTGTCCGGGTGAGGATGATGATCATTCTGTTAAAGAAATTGTTTATCTATGCTTTCTTTTTGTTTCTTGGGATTTTGGTTGCTGTGTATACATCATTGTAATGGATTTTTTAGGTTGAATTCGATATCTCTTAGTTGGTTGTTACTGGATTATGTTCAATCTGTTCCATTGTTTCATTAACTTTTTCTGCTAGTAAATTTCTGTCCAAACCAACGAATAAGTTTCTTTTGCTATAGGTTTTGTCAACCAGACTTGGAAGGAAGCCTGAGGACATCATCAAGTTAGATGCAAATGAAAACCCATATGGTCCTCCTCCGGAGGTAAGTCATACGTGCCACCTCACTTGGTTTCATAGCAAAAAAATGTTGATACTACATATGGTTTTATGGAGTTATTTAGTTTTAAGCGCCATCATTCCAAGCTTTTTATGCCGCTTTATGTTCTTACTGAAATTTCATGTTATTTGTAGGTTATTGAAGCTTTGGGTGCATTGAAATTCCCATATATTTATCCTGATCCTGAAAGCCGTCGATTACGTGCTGCCCTGGCAAAGGATTCGGGCCTTGAATCTGATTATATTCTCGTTGGGTGTGGTGCTGATGAGCTCATTGATTTGATTATGAGGTCAGAACTGATTATTATGTTTGTATAAGATTCTAACAATGCTATCCTTTATGATTATTATTGTTACTTTTGTCTATCACTCCCTGATCTTCTATTTCATTTGTCCGTTATTAAAATATTGCTGAAGATGTGTGCTTGATCCTGGTGACAAGATTGTTGATTGTCCACCAACGTTCACAATGTATGAATTTGATGCTGCAGTAAACGCAGCTTCTGTCATTAAAGGTAAAGTTAACTTCCTCTTAATTTTCCATGGAAAATATAATTTTAGAATATTTCAAGAAAGCTTATCCTTGCATATATGTGAAACTGTTAGCTTATCTGCCCTCTCCCCAAATACAAAAGACCTCAGCTCATATACTTAGACGTACATTATGTGTGCATAATCCTATGTGTTTCGGTGGAACTGTGCAGTGCCAAGGAAGTCGGATTTTAGCTTGGATGTAGAAGTCATTTCAGATGTTGTTTTACAGGAAAAACCAAAATGCATATTCCTAACTTCTCCCAACAATCCAGATGGGAGGTAACTGAAAATTGTCCCTTTCTGTACATATGCCTGATATTCGGATTGCATCTTCAGTTATGAAAACTTTGATACAATTGTTCCTGATTCTTATATTCTTTATCACAATGAACAGTCATATATGCTTTAGCCTACTTCGATTTGAGATGGTTTATTCCGACTTAATGACCCCACATACTGTCTTATCATAAGATAAGATGCATGGTTTCTATAATCTGAGTGTCACTCTAAGACTTTGTATTTTCATGTTCTACTTATTTGATGACAGTATAATCAGTGATGAGATTCTCTTGAAAATTCTTGAGCTTCCCATATTGGTGGTGCTGGATGAAGCATATATTGAGTTTTCAGGACTCGAATCAAAGATGCAATGGGTGAAAAAGCATGAGAATTTAATTGTTCTGCGAACATTTAGCAAACGAGCTGGTATTCTTTGTTTTGTTTTGAGAAGTCATTACTTGTGAACATTGCTTTATATAATTCCGTTATGGTACTATTGAATAATGAAATCTTCTGCTTCTGTACTATTGGCACTTCTAATGACTTCCAGTAACAAGATTTTCGATATACAAACTTTGGTTCTCTTTTGTTTGTCAATTTAAACTCTCTAGTTTCAACCTTTATGTAAATGGTTTGTTTCTTTGGCGATGCGCAATGGTGCAGGCTTAGCTGGACTCCGTGTAGGATATGGAGCATTTCCGCTGAGCATAATTGAATACCTGTGGAGAGCTAAGCAACCATATAATGTGTCTGTTACTGCTGAAGTTTCTGCTTGTGCAGCATTGCAGAATCCCACCTATCTTGAGGTTAGGATTCTTCAGATTTCTCCCCATGCTTCCTGTGACTCTTAACAATTGAAGTGTATTTCTAATATCGGTCACAACATATACCAGACGGTGAAAGAAGCTTTGCTACAAGAGAGGGAGAGGCTTTTCAACCTTCTAAAGGAGCTGCCGTTTCTCAACCCGTATCCAAGCCATTCCAATTTCATTCTTTGTGAGGTTGCACCGGGAATGGATGCTAAGAAGCTGAAGGTATTTTTTCATCCTTTCCTCCTCAACATAGCGTTATGTCATCCAATTTACACAATCCACCAATTCATAATTTTCGACGTGCTTTTCAACACCGAAACTTAAATAACATACGTGTAGATCCATCCCTATATTTCTTTTGAACATTCATTCTATAGCGAGCGAGGTTTCAATTTTGATTGATACAGGAGGACCTTGCGAAAATGGGAGTGATGATTCGTCACTACAACAACAAAGAGCTGAAGGGTTATGTTCGCGTATCTGTTGGGAAGCCTGAACACACAGATGCATTGATGGACTGCCTCAGAAGCTTGTCGTCTTAATGCAGCACCTTGGACCATTACTTGGGATTAACCTAAAACATATATATATAATTATTAAAAACCTCTTGTATGAACATTTTTTGCTTGATTAACTCTAAAAATTTTGATTTTGGAAGACATAGACTCCTGAATTAATAGACAACTTATACGAAATCAATATTATTCTTCCTTGAAAGTCTCGATGGTATAATTAAGCAACTTTAATAATTATGAAATTAAACTCACCTGCTGTCAAGTGCCTCTTCCATTCAATTCCTTTCTCATCCTCCGGTTGAACTTTAAAATTTGGGTAGTGTTATAAACACATTTTTACCTTTCACACATTTCATTTTAATTTTTGTACTTATGATTCTTTTTTAATTCATTATATCCAACGACGGAATGTTGAAAGAGGTGCGAGGTTAGCGCCCCCCACCCCCAAAAATTTGGCCTTTTAAAATGTTGGGTTATGGCCACTTAGTACTACGGTCTAGTGGTATTCCTCTTCACTTGTAAGTGAGAGGTCTTATGTTCGATTCTCTCTAAAGCGAATTTGAAACATATTATTGCTAGCCCATTGTGAGGTTAAGCCCACCCCCTCTTCTAGATAATATCGTTTGTTAAAAAACAAAAAAAATTTGAGCCACGAACGACATGTCGTCTCTAATGTTGTCGTGTCTTCGCCTTTTTCTGTTTTGAAGCAAAACAAATTGTTTTTCTTTTTGTTGTTGGAAACTCGTAGTAAAAGGGAACACGCAGATATAAATTTCCAAATCCCTAAACCCCCCTTTCGCTCTGCTCCGCCTCGCTTCCCGCCACCGCCACCACCACCACAACCTTCTCTTCTCTTCATCAGGTAACCAACGTAAATGTTTCTATAACTAATTTTTTCAGCGATGTGTATTTTTGAATTTGCAATTTTTCTCTTTTAGGTTTGTTCGAATTGCTAAAGTATCTTAATGCGAAATAAATCGTTGATTAATTAAAGAGTGAAACTTTTGCTTGTTAGTGTGCGATTCGGAGAAATTTTTTAACCCTTTTGTTTTTCCCTTATTTTTCTTTTTATTTTTAGTTTTTTGGGATTTTGGGTTTTGCAGTTTAATCGTTGTATGCACGATATGTAGTTTTTTTTACAGGTTGTTCTTTCTTTTTTCCATGAAATTTATTGCTTAGCAGGTCGAAAATTTATCGTACGATTTTGATGAATTTTGGGTTTTTGGTTTTAATTGTTGATTATGGCTTTAGAATTTCCAGACTAGTAATTGGTTATGTGTTGCGACGGATAACAGGAATAAAATGCCGAAGGTAAAGACTAACAGAGTCAAATACCCAGAAGGTTGGGAACTAATTGAGCCTACGCTTCGCGAACTGCAAGCTAAGATGAGAGAGGGTATGAAATTTACCATGTTTTTATTACTTTGTTCAGCCCGGAAGTATTCTGATGTGTATTCGGTATTTAACTTTTTGGCAGCTGAGAATGATACTCATGATGGTAAGAGAAAATGTGAGACCTTGTGGCCTATTTTCAAAATAGCACATCAAAAGAGCCGCTACATTTTCGACCTTTACCACCGGAGAAAAGAAATTTCCAAGGAGTTATATGAGTTTTGTCTGGACCAAGGCTATGCTGATCGCAATCTAATTGCAAAATGGAAAAAGGTTTGTCTCGGATCTCTTCTATCTCAATTTGAAACAAGTGCTTTATTTATTTTTATTTGGAGTTGATTGCATGATATGTCGCACTTTGAATTGGAGATTAGTTATTAATCATGAAAAACCGGTAAATAAGATTAACAGAACATAACCATGAATATCTAATATAAGAAAATTGAAGTAAACATAGACACGGGACATGGGTAGTTACGGCATTGAGTTGTCGACTATGATGGCAAAGATCAACGGACTAATACAACATTGCTTGAACTCACAGTTTGAAATTCTCCTGCTACATGTATTGCCGTATTGGCATTGCATCTTCAGCTCTGAGTACGTTGAAGGAACTTCTGTATTACATTTGCAGGTCGTATGTAAAACTGTTGGATAACAGTTACTCTAATTAGGATATTGAAAGGAAAATATTGCATGCTCATGTAGCTTGTGTCTTTTATCTAAAGTCTATTATCTAACGACATGTGATGACATATGGTTTGTGTTTGAAATGCAGCCTGGTTACGAACGGCTCTGCTGTTTAAGATGCATGCAGCCCCGGGACCATAACTTTGCCACCACATGCGTTTGCCGAGTTCCCAAGCATCTGAGGGAGGAGAAGGTTATCGAGTGTGTGCATTGTGGCTGTAGGGGCTGTGCCAGTGGAGATTGAATAGTGGTCGGGTCTGTTCTTGAAAATGTAATTCTAATGATGCTTGAACCAGGTTATCCTCGGTACCATGAATTGTGGGGAATTTGTAACGTGTAGCTGATCGTAATCTTCATGTATCAGCCTATGGATGAGTTTAAAGTGTTCCTAACCGGTTTGTTGTTTCGGAAACTTTGCTCTTGATGAATGATTATGAATTCCGATTGCACATGGATCGTGTTTTCTTTTGATAAGATTGACGATTACTTAAATGTGCTGTAAGAAACTTCTCCCAACGTACATCGGAGCAAATCTCCAACAGAGAGATTCAAATTTTAGATGTGAAATCACGTTTAAATATGGTTTTTGCTTCCGAGGGAGATGTAAATTTAAATTTTTGCCTACCTCCTCTTGAACTTGTTCTTTATTCTTGGATGCGCAAGGAGGATAGGCTCCTTCAGCAGTGATCTTTTATGGATATATTTTCAGATTGTGAGCAACCGATAGAGGGTAGAGGGCTGGATTTGTGATCAAAGATTTAACAGCCAAGGATCGTATTAGTGTGTACTGTAACACCGGTTAAAAGTATATCTTAATCGAAAGGCCTAAAAGCATCGTTAAGGGAGATAGCAATTGAGTCGCAAAAGTTCGCAAATGTGAGGATCTTGAATAGAAAACCCATTGCTAGTAATGGCATTGTTGAGAGTTCCTTTCTCTCAAGGGTTTGAGCCAATGGCAATTAGAGACTGGATGAAAGTCCCAAGTTGTGTGTTGGAATGCTAGGCGTGCAGCTGTTGGCTCTAATACGAAACTGACATACTCCGAGCCAGAATATCTACCTGGACACCCAAACCGAGTTGTGTTGGCCGTCACCCGGAAGGTGACCAAGCCATAAAGTGATGGTGATGTGGAAAGTGCTACTAATTTAAACCTAAAGTAAATAATTCTATAATGCATAGAAAGAAAAAAGTAGTCTCATCCGTAAAAATAATTATTTATTACATAAGTTACCTACTTTGACTGAAGAACAGTCAGCTTCTTCCACTGAATCCTCGTATTCCCTCCAGTCTTGCATCACAAGTTATTTAACTTCTAATCAAAGAATTGGGTCATGAGTGGGACACTGACTCGTCCTTGATTCGTTTCTTGTGTTGTAAGTAAAGGACTTGGTATATATTTTTGAGTTGGTTTTACTGTTCATATTTTTGTAAAAATAGAGGCCCATAGTTTTAAGTCACATACTATTTTTAGCCTAAACAAGTATCCGCAAAGAAATTGGCTTCACTATAAACATGATTCCAGGTTATGGTAGAGAAAGAAGTTACAAGCCTTTAGATGTCTTCAATGACAGCTCAAAGCCAAAGTAAGAGAAAAGAAATCATCAATTAGTGGTATAAGATTCTGTTGTTGTTGTTGTTGTTGTTGTTGGAGCTAATAGAAAGAGACTTGGAAAGAGACCTTAAGAAAAGACATGGAGTTTGGAGCTAACGAAAGATTTAGTGCAAAACTGAGCGCAGTGACGTTCCAAGATTTATACAACCGGCCCCATTTAGTAAATAAGACTTTGTTGTTATTGTAGCATGTACTACACACATGCATGGACGCCAATTATACAAGTATATATTGGAATCAAGTATATATATTTTATTGGCTCTTGAAGCCATTGGTCCTTTAGATTGGCATCCTCATTTTGGTCTCTAAGAAGTGATCTCTGAGTTTGTCCACTGGAAATCATTATGATCATTCCATGAAAAATATGTCAATATGCCAACCCATACTATGAATTATTTTAAGGACAAAATCGGACTAGTTCAGTCTTTTTTTTTTTTTTTTTGAATAAAACAATATTATCTACACTAAGGGGATGGTGGAGTAGTTTAGTCTCGTAATGAGCTAGTAATTATGTGGTTCAAATTCGCATTTGGCGAGAATCCAATTTAAAACCTCTCACTTTCAAATGAAGAGAAATACTAATAGATTATAATACTGAAGTATTATTATTTCTTTCTTTCTTTCTTTCTCGTAACGAGCATTTAGAATACTTTCAGTACTCTTGAAACCCTAAGCAAATATTACAGATGGATCAGGCTAGACATTCGAATTGCTTGATCATATGGGGAATTAGTTTTTATATGAATTGAACCAAAAAAGGAATTAGTTTTTATATGGTAAAAAAAAAAAAATGTTATAAAGTGACGTTACATTATATTCATGCAATATAATAATATATTGTCAAGCGGTAGCAAATTGGTAGAAGGGTAGTAATAAAGCTGAGTTTATGAAAAACGAAGGGTCGTTGGCAACCATAAGTTTCGGAATCATGGCATGATGTAATTGTCAAATTCTACTCACTACTTAATGAACTGCATTTTCTCTATTGTAAAAAGTAGCAGATAACAAATATAAATTATAAAAGTTTTAGGACGGGTCTGGACTTATCCTGGCCTCCATGTGGCTCCCTCATTGATAAAACAAGAGTTTACATATCAAAACCCTAATGAAAGCATCTCTATACCAAAATGTCTTGCATAATGTGAATTTGAATATTAATCTAGTTGATTTTTGCAGTGTACTTCGTTTTAATTTATAGTTTTATAAAATAAACACAACTTCACATAAGATCTATAAATCATAATCTGGTAATAGTTTAACAGGGGAGCATTTTACTAATCATTGACATATCAATATATAATGTATTTAATTAGAGTAACTTTTATTTTATTAATTTTCCAAGGAAGGACTTATATCTATCAAGCAAGCTGCAAGTGCTCGAAACATGAACACATAAACCATCTGTTTTTGTGTAAGTGAAGGAACACTTAAAAAAACAAAAAAATTATCCACTAGTATAATAATATACGGCTTACTGCCCAGTGTTCTTGACATTTTGAAAAGGCTAGAAGCACCAACACTCGGCAGTGAAGTATACGTAACCTAATAAATAAGGGATTTAGGGTTAGATAGACGTGCCATCATTTTCTACTACGTACGTACACCTCCATGCATTGTCAACAAATTCAATTCATATTACATCCAATTTATGTAAACATTCAATCTCAGAAACTGGATCCACTAAACAGCAACTGGAAATTGCCATTTGAGAGAGCAGGCACAGTCACTGCTCAATCATTAAAGTTATTTTCTGTAACTGTCTCACTTATTAGGGTTTAATTTTGGCTTAATTTGGTGGGTTTCTATCTGTTTGGTTGGCAAGTGAATATAAAAAAACTTCTCATGTTTGGTCTACTTGGTAGAAGTTATTGAGTTAATTGGTAACCCTGCCCATCCCCTCTCTCTCCATCTCCACAAGAAAATTAAGGCGAGTAGCTAGTTATTTATGAAACGGAGATTTTGGATGCGGTCCATAGTTATCAATGTTATTTTATTGAAATCTTGTTGATTTTTAGTTTTTTTATTAAAGTCCTTGACATTAATGTAATAATATATTTCTATGTAGGTTACTATATTTTTAAAATTAAAAATTAAACATTATAATTGTTTATATTAACGAGATTTTAAATAAAACCCATAATTTGTAAGATTAAAAATATTAAAATGTAA